TAAATTAGGCAATGAGGGAGCCAAATATTTGGCTTGTTATTTTTTCCTCCTTCTCTGGAGTTTATGAAATGACAGAGCTAAGACTTACTAGGGCAAAAAAGGGAGATAGATAATAGGGGACAGAGCCAGGGTGAGATTTTTCAGGCCAAGCTGCTGCACCTTCTTAGAAACTTAATCTAGTCTTAAAGCGGCCTGGCCTGGCAGAAGCTAAAAGGGAAACAAGGGATTAAGGCCATGGCCGCCTCCTTTTTTTAGCTTTCACACCTACAGTATGGTGCCATTTCCCTGAGCTATCACTCCTGTAGTTCTCAGGCCTAGGCAAGGAACAAGGTGAAAGTTTTGTGTTTTGGAGACACCTCTGGCTCCTTATAACTCTGTCCTTCTTCTCTTGTGAAGCTGGGTTAATGCCAAATTGGCATAAAATGCCATGTTTTTTCACTGCAATGGAGGCAGGATTTACTGTGTGCATATACCATAAAAAGATGCCTTTTGAACTGTTCACTGAACCCCAAACTAGAAAAGGAGCTACTGTTTCATCTTCCGAGTTGTTCTTGCAGTAGTTGAAAGATACATTCACAGAAAATCCTGCTCATTGCAAATTTTACTTCTCAACCTGGTTGCAGACCCACCATCCCCCATCATTCCTCCTTTAACTTGTTTGTGGTCTACTCTGTCTTCCTGTTGGTAAGTCTTCGGCCTGGGTTGCAGCTAGGGGTGAAATAAGAACCCACGCATTCTGGCTGTGTCTTTCCTATGCAGGTTGGAAGCAGCCGAAATGTATTCATAAGTGTAAAGAGTGCCATCTGCTGGCGTCCTGCGGAATCCCCAAGCCCAGCCCAGCCATGACTACCTCCTAATTACGTTGCAGCTAAGCATCTTCTTTATATATGTATATTTATTCATTTATGTTTGTATATATATTTTTATATATGCAATTATATATGTGTATGAGAGAGTGTGTGTGTGTGTGTGTATACACACACACACACACACAAATGCAAGTCATTACAGTCTTTATTATATGGAAAATTATTTAAGCTTAGAGATGTCAAAACAGCTATAATAATAACCTAGATGCAGGTAATAACACAAGTATTCTAGTGAAAAATTCATGAATGCTTGCTACCATGCAAAAAAATAAAAATAAAAAAAGGCTGATTTAGCAGCAACTATTTCACGTCTGTTATTAGTGCATCAGGCAGCAGCACTCATATGATGATAAGGTGACTTGAGGAGGTCATCTAGTCCAACCTTTTAGTAGCCATTCAAATTAAGACTGTGCCCTGGGATAGCTGATGATACATGGATACCTGCTTCAAAGACGACCATCTCCAGCCCAGTAGAGACAAAGCAAACAGCTGTGGTGACAAATTTGTTGAAATTCTGCAGCAAACATAGTCTATGGTCTTCTGTCCTCACTGTGAATTGCTCCCACCTACTTAGAAGAATGTCTACCTCAGTTTCTCTCAGAAACTCATCATTTACTCTTTCTTCCTGTTATCTTATGGTGCACACATGGAGGATGTATAGGGTTGCTCTGTGTGTATGGAAATATGCAACAACAGACCCACATGGCTTGAGAAGAATGCATAAAGAAGAAAAATCTTTGCAAGAAATTTACTCTACAGCGCATCTTTGCTGTTGCAGCAAGAGAAGCCTGAAGTTCAAATAGCTGCTTAGCATTTCTGGAATCATTCACCAGCTATTCAGTTACCACTAAACCCGCTCTAGCCTTCAGTTTTGTAAAATACGTTGCTACCTGGTGTCACTTATTGCTAACACTACTGGTGGAGCAGCATGTAGCGTGGCGCTGTAAGCACATTTAGTTGTTCGCTTGAAAACCTAGGCAGGAGGCCTGAGTAACTGATTTCTGTGCAGTTCAACCACCCCTACCAGCCCTAATCAAGAAACATACATCCGCTTAGACACAAACAGCCTGCTCATCAGCTTGCTCACAGGAATTAGGCTTGCCCCTATTGTCCAAATGCACTTTCCATATGATCTAGATATCCTAACTGGAAGCAAATACGGGTTGAGAGAAGGTAAAGTTATAGGGGACTGACACATTCTCACTTTTAAACATGTTATTTCTATTACATAGCTTCCTCTGAGATTAAAAAAATTAGATAATCTGGAGAAAAATTCTATTTTCAACTCCTTCATCAAAACTCATTAAGTATTATGAAAACTTCCTAGATAATATTTCCATAAAAAGGAAAAGTATTTAATCTTCAGGATTTCTTGCCTGAGGAACAAGTTTAATGCAGCTTTAGAGCATCCTCTTTATTAATAATGCAGTAGTTGAGCAATCCCTATTTAGACACATTTAACTTCTAGAAACAAAGTTATTTGAATTGTTCTGAGCAACTCCAATACACCAACGCAGAATGAGATTGCTTCTGCCTTTAGTTTGCAGAACTGTTTGTTGGCAGATAGCATACTTCTGTTTGAGCTCTTTCATACTTAATTTGTCTCAAATGCCAAGCACGTGCAATTGTTCATCAAATTTCTGGTCAGTCAACTTATTTTGCAGTACAGTGAAACATGGGTTGTTCAAGATTTGTTACTCTTCTAGCTTGTGTTACTAGGCAGCATCCAAGTTCACTCAGGACAAAGAAAAATCTAATACAAAAAGCAAAATTTCTCATCTGTGACTCAAAGCTATTAGCATATTTTAAAAGCATACTTGGTACTCATCGCTATAATGGTGGGCAGGACATTACATTCAAGAACAAAACCTTACAAAGACAGCATTCACAGCAACATACCACAAAAAGGCCATGACCTGACAAGCCCCTGCAGTACGTAGGTATTATACAGCCGACCCCCCAGCTCTTTCAGTTACCTGCATCTCTGTGCAAGAGAGAACTTGGTATCACAATACTTTATTGGAAAAGGTCACATGGGCAGGTGAGATGTTTTCCACAGCTGGTCCAGAATTGCTTAATCTCTTTGAAAAAATACTTATTTTGGAGGTAGGTACTAAGACATTCATACATTTGAGAGAGGGCTTTCCTACAGCTTAAGGGTTTTTTTTTTTCCCCCCTTGATAGGCTATACTGACCAGTGAATTCCACAGATCTACTCCCATATTTGCTTTCTATTTATTTGATGTAAAGTAAACACAATTAAAAATATTAGAAAAAATATGAAAATGCATTTGACATACCATAATCCTCCTTTCTCCTTTACTATTATTAGTTTCCTTGTTTAGGTCTTTCTCATTGCAGCTGGTAAGAACAATAGCAAGGCAAAGACCACTCAAAACTGTTTCATGGTATGAGAGACCATTACAGTCGGGTTCTTGTCTTAAAATGATATAATAGTACAGATACTTTTGAGTAATGCTGTCCTTCTAAATGTCACAATTCACTAAATAAACTGTTAAAATACTGCAGTTTTAAGAGGAAAGTATGGAAAATTAACATGTCAAATCAAGTTTTAAAATTTGGATTTGTAAAATCATTTCACTTACGTTGGCCTTCTGCAGAAAATAATGGTGCTAAACATAAGATGGAGAAGACAGAGGTCAACATAGTCTCTATTTACCAATGACTACTTTTTAAAGGGGAAATTTAAGAGGGAAAAAAACGTTGCTACAGAAAAGATCTATTAAAACAGACTGCTGTTGGATATACAAATAAGCCCACTTATGAGTAACACAAAATGGCCAAAACTGGCACATAAAAACCAGGCTTAAAGAAAATTTAAAATTCATCATCAATTTATTTAGAATATGCAAGAACATTCCAATTCACATTAAACATCTGTAGTGTCAGTATTTAGAAAAATACACCATAAAAGTTGCATCTAAGTTATTCTTCGGTTAAGATCTCAAGTCCAAAGTTAGGCATCATTTATCAAATTCCATTGCATCCAGTTTACTTCCAATCTCAAAAGTGCACCGCAGATAACTTTATACAAAGGCAAAAATATGTGCACCCATGGCTAATATAGCCATTTAGCATTGCAACAACAATATCATACGAAATAGTGTGGGTTTTTTTTTCCTCCTTTTATCAAAAATATATTTATAACCAGTTTTACAAGTAAGGAAACAATCGAGTTGTCTGCTTAACCAGTTAAATACTTTCAGTGCAGCAAGAGAACTGTAAATATTTTAGAGTTTACGTAGAATACCTGGCTGCTCAGCATTCATAATATCTTACAGCATAATGATTTTAGTATTTAACACCAGTCTGGCTGGCGTATGAAAGCAGCAAAACAAAAATCAGCAGCGGAGGTCAATCTAACGCCATTTCAGACTGTAAAGCACTGGAAATTTAAACTGGAAACTGAAAAATAATGAAGGTTTTTAGTGACAGGGCCAGGAACAGTCTTTCCTAGTTTTGCTACCAACATTCTTCAAAACTTTTACTCACTAACGTCTGTCCGTGGAGATCAGTTACTCATGTACATAATACTTTTATCCTGAAAACCACTCAACTTTCAATGCAGGCAGAGTTTGTACAAAACATCAGAAAAAGAGGACAGAGACCCTAGCTAGATGCTAATTAATTGACCACCGAGAGAGACACAGAAGACTGAAGTTCATTAGTTTCCATTTGACCACTCCAAACTTTTAAACCCTTTTGAAAACAAGCTCCTCAAAATGATTTCTTTTTAAATTGAGTCTTTAAGCACAGAGCCTTCTCCTTGTCCACCCAAGTATCTTGTGCTTGATTTCTCAGAATCTTCATCTGCTTTCTGGACTTTCTTTTCATGCTCCTATCCATCTATTAAACCTAAATGGACATTTGGCTATGTTTTTGATGTCTACGTCTTCCCCATCTTTGCGTGAGAATCTCAAAAATGTGTTTTCCTCACATTTCTCTTTTCAAAAAGGTCACAGATGAAAATGACCTCCTGAGAGTGTAGCTGTGGCTTATGTAAAATATTTGCTATTCTAAAAGGATTCACTATTTAATTACATTGTTGTAAACAGAAAAAAAATCTTCTATTATAGCTGGTTACATTTAAGAACAGCAAAAATACGTTAAAAAACATACAGGGTTTTTAAGAAAGAACAAAGATAAGTTAGCATGATTTAAAATGTCTTAATTTTAAAAACTGCCTTGTGAATATGCAGTTCAGCAAGTATTCACCTTCTCCGGCAACACCTGGGTTCTGCAGAAAAATGTTAGCACAAACATCCACCTAGTGAAACATGAGCATTAGGCTCTTTGGAATACAAGGAGCAACTAGATTCCCAGCCAGTTCCCATGTATAACTTCACAAAATTCAATTTGCCATTATTGTTCTGAACGTTGACAGTAATTTACATTCCAGTTTGGGACAGACATATGGGGAAAAAAATATGCAACTGAACAAACCCTGAGCAAAGTAGTTCAAGCAACAGTTTCAGCCCTGGGTTATTTTCTTGAGACTGCTTTCCAAAAGTATCTATGCAAGACAAGAGTCTAGGTGTTCATTTATTTTAGACTCCAAAACCTCTGCCTGGCACACAGGACAACTGACTTTTTTATCCTGCCTTACAGCAGGGCTGGAACTTGCAGAGGAAACTGTAGATTCAGCTTCGGTTTTCACAGTTGTATGTATTCTTAAAGTGCCATCAGCGCTCTCTTTTTTTATAAAATAGTTTTCAAAGGCAGTTTTGTCTTCCATTTTTGGCCATTGCTGCAGCGTACCAGTACATTCTAAGCTTCTTCTTTTACTGGATACAACCTGAGCTGCCGTAGTTTGCTCAAAACAAGTCTGTTTAGGTGTCCTGTCAGGGCATGGCAAAACCCTCTTCCCTTTTGTAGGACCTTGGTTTGATTTCTCTTCTGTAACACGAGCAATTTTAACAGGTGATCCATTAACAGTCTTGTAAGCTTTTGTGTTAGCAACAGAGAGCACAGGAAACTCACGCTTGGAAGTAAAGTTAATTTTCTCTCTGGCATCATCAGTATAAAGTGGAAAGAAGATGCCATTACGAGGTGATGTTT